ATTAAAGTATGTTAAATAACATGCCAAGAAATAATTTAAAAGCATATCACAAGTCAATTTCATACAAGGTACGGTCATGGGATTTAATCTTTCACAAAAGATAAATATTAAATAAAATTTGCAATTTTTATTCAATCAATACCAATTTAATATATGTCAACAAACATATTAAAACATGATTTTTTAGCACGCCACAATTCAAATCAAAGTTATATATCATCATGAATTTTAAATCTTATACAAAGAAGTAAAAATTACCAACTTTCTAAATCTGATACAAGGCATACATATAAGTTGTATAATCATAAGAAACACTCAATACAACACATATAAATCCTAAAACATTTCCTACCTCAATTGGAATGAAAATCCCAATTACCACCGAAATGAAATCGCCCTAAATTTTTGGTCCGCAAGACAGATATTTTAGCTTGTTACTTTGAACTTGGGAAATTCATAAAAAATTCAATTCTAATCCAAATTGAATGAATCCAAAGCCCAATGAAAGCTTAAACACTGTAATTTGATAATATCAATTTAGTTTAACAAAATATTTTCTCAATTGAAACAGTTTTAACCCACAACTTTGAAACAAATTCTGCCCAGAAAACACATTTTCAGCCTGTAGCTTCCAACTTTGAAAATTCATGAAAAATTCATTTGACTTCCAAATTGGGCAAACCTAATTTATTTTCGAAGTAAACATATGAGAGTATAAAACTGAAAATTTAAGCCATGATCCAATGTCAAAAGGTTAGTGAAATAAATCATCTAAAAATATGTTTCCAGCTGCAATAAAAACATGGACAACAGATAGTCTCGGATTTTAAAAAAAATTTAGAAAATGCTCTAAAATCGTGAAAAAATTCTGAGTATTGTAAAATCCATGGGAAAAGTTCCAGTCAAAATTTCAATGTAATTGAAGTACTACAGCTCCATATAAAAATTCGTTTTCAGACCGAATGAGAAAAGATTTAAATTTTCAGTAACTAGCTTGCAACTTCAAAAATTCATAACTAATTCATTTTAAATCCAAATTATATGAAACCAAAACTAAATGGAAGTTAATTGATTATATTTTCATGTTATATATTTAATTTGACAAGATTTTTTTCAAATTAAAACAGTTTAAAGGCAGAATACAAGTCATTCTCTTCTATGCATGTAAAACACATAATATTGACATAAAAATACTTCAAAATAATAGATCAATACCTCACTAGAGAATTGAATCTCTAGATACCAAAGCAAAATTAGGAGTTAGGCTAGATCCTTTAAGGGTTTTGAAGAGGAGGATGAGGGGAACAAAAAGTATTCCAAGCTTTATGGTCTAAAGTAAGTGGAAGGGCCTCAAAGATCAAGGTCAATGCCTAAAGCTTCAAGCGTCATCCATGGAGGCTAGGGTTTTGTGGTGAGGAAGAAAGAGATGAAATGTGTAAATGTGTGAGTAGAGGAAATAGAAATCATCCACTCACTATGTGATCCTACACCACAGTCAACACACACATCTATGGTCAATTGCACAAAAACCCTCATTTAAAACCATAATCCCAAAGTGGCCCAAAGATATTTGCAAGACTTAATTGTGAACCTACATTTGTTACTAATCCATGGCTCCTTCCTAGACTTAATCCCATACCTACACTTGTCAACCATCCAAGCCAACAAGTGCACCAATCCTAGGCCAACAAGTGGGTGAATCTTCACCCTCCAAATGTCATCATCCAATGTATCAAAGTGTTTCCACACAAATGTCAACAAGTGGACCATTGAGAGTGTGACACTTGTCACACTTTTCAAAAATTGCAAAAAGGTCTTTTTTGAAAATATCTTCTAAATTTAATTGCAAAATGGTCCCCAAGATGAAAAATAATTACTTTATTTAATTATACTAAAACCCCACAAGCTAAGAAGAATTACACTAAAGTATGCATTAATGCCCCTTTATGAAGAAAGTAAGCAATCAACATGCTTTTCTAGAAAAGTAAAAATACCACTATCATGAAAATCAAATGTCATGAATGCATGCAAAACTGGAATCAAATCCGAGCACAAAAGTGACGTTGTGAAAGGAAAAAGGATAAACGAGAAAAAGACAAAATGTGAATAGTGTTCGGAAAAATAAAATATGGAAATGACACAATCCCCAAAGGAAGTTATCAATCCAAGGAAAAGAGTCTTGGAAATCATTTCAGAGTACTCGAGACGACATCAAGTGATGAAAAACCGAACCCAAAAAGGAAAAGACAACGAAAAAAAATTATCTGTGAAAATCCGGGTTATTACAGATTAGACATATTGTCGTGGAAGTTAAGCTTGTTTTATGTATTTTTAGACCAAAAGAGTGAAAACAAAATGAAAAAAAAAAATAGCTTTGAAGAAAAAAAATGTTTTTCAAAAATTTTTCAGTTTGAAAAAAATAATGAGAAATTGAAAAGACTATCTTTGGGATTTGTCCATAACTACCTTGACTCTAAAAAAAATGGAAATAAAGGAAAGTGCTGGTTGCCTATAAGCTTGAAAACCGCGATATATGTGCAAAAAGAAAAATGGAGCAAAAAGAGAGAAAAAAAAAAGGTCTTTTGCACATATTGATTGTTTGATTTCCAAGGATATGTGATGTCATTGATTTATTGTCTGAAATATAAACTATTGGTAGATTATTTATTTTTGGAACTTGGTGGTGATTTTACAACACTTACTAAGTTTGTGGAAGTACAAGGAATTGATATTAGTTATATTTGTTTTGCTCATATAGTCTTGTGAAGTTTATATTCCTATTGAGTTCAAATTTACAATTTCTATATGGTTGTTTGCTTCCTCCTTTTAGTTTATTTTTTCTTTGAATCCCTTGTCAATTTTTGACAAAAAAGGGGAGAGAGTTTAGATCTTTATCATTTAGGTGTAGAGATATTTTGCATTGATGGGAATAACACATGATTATTGGATTAACTTTTGGCTAATTTAGCTTTGATTGCCATTTTATGCTTGTGTTTATTTTTCTTGATTAAGATTCATGGGTAATTTTGTTGAGCTATGTGCAGATTACAGGTTTTAAAAACTAAAAGTGATGAAGTTTCATATGATTCAAGAAATGTTCCGATTTTTTACTTTTGGGCAATTGTTGTAATTTGCTTGTCCTGCTTGGGTAGATTACATGTTGTCTTAAGAGTTTTGTCATAAAATAGCCAAAGGGGGAGATTGTGAAATATAAATTTGTAATTTGGCAAATTTCGTTGTTAAAATGAGTCTGATTGAATTATAAATTTTTGGTTCGATTTATCAAGACTTAAGATCGGAAGCGAAATTAAAGAAGTGATTATGTTCATACTTTGATACATTCCGTTATGATGAGAACAATGCATTAGGAAGGTGAGTGAGTGTGTGGGGAAACTTGCATGGTTTCAAAATTTGGCTTTTAGGGGAAAAAAATCAAGTATAAGTGGTCTTTTCCATTCTGCCTAATTTGAACTGGTTCAGAGACTCTGAACCGATTCAACCTTTAAACACCTCCTAAAGGATTTCTAAATGGGTCAATATGAACTGGTTCAGCTGCTCTGAACCAGTTCAACTTACAAAGTTGGTTTTCAAAATTTTGCTTCTAGCCAACTTGAACCAGTTCAGCCCCTCTGAACCAGTTCAAGTTCTGCAGACCAAGAAGGCAACTTTAATTCCTGGTTTGTTTTGGCTTTCTATTTTGAATAGATTTTTGCAACAATGATCATGCAAAATTAACTTATTTTTCAATTATTTTTAGGTCTTCCAAAAATCTATATATTCGCTCTTTTACTCTAAAATTAGTACAGCTTTTGGGAACGTAATTTTTCAACTATTTTGACAGAGCATTTGAGAGATGTCTTTCAAAAAATTAATTTGATTTTTCTGATTTTATTTTTGAGAGCACATACATAAACACAAGAGTGATTTAGGGGTGTTGTTTTCTATTTGATTGGAATTGGACAATGATTGACAATTCAGAAATTTCAAAAAACGGGATTTTATCTACCTTTCACATAAAATTCATATTTGAAGAAGAGATGTGTTTCGATCACACTTGGAAAGAATCAAGGCATTCGCAGAGTGTTATTGATCTACTAGCAATCCTTCTACAAGGTTGTAAAGTCAGCGGTGTTCGGCAAGTTGGGTCTTGGTAGAATAAAAAAGTTTGAGTCAGAGTCAAAATTTGGTATACTTTGCATCAAATATAATGGATCGTTTACATTTGGGATAACGCAAAAAAACCTCGAGGTTTTCCAATTGGTTTCATCACTAAAAATCCTAATGTCATCTTTCAAATTTTACTTTACAATATTTATTTTTTTGGGTTGTGGATGTTTAATAAATCACTCCCCAGGTTAATCATATTTGTGGGTAAATTAATCAATCACAAAAATTGGGGCAAGTTGACCAATTTAAAACCCAACTCCCCATCTTAGTCAACTGCTAACTTCCGCACAGGACTCACAAATTAAACTTATTGTATTCGATCAAAAGGAAACATACAAATGATGGAGGTGCTGCACAAGATATGGGAAGATGGAAATAAAAACCCTAAGAACATTTGTGCATGATCACAACATTATCCACAATACCTCTATTAAAAACAAAACCAAGTGAAAAAAAGAAAAAAAGAAAAAAAGAAAAAGAAAAAGAAAAGAAATCAAGAAATTAAAGAGGGAAGTTAAGGGGAAAGTACAAATGGTCTATACACATCAAGTTGAACTTATAAGTTACCTTGAGATGTCTTAATTTACTCCTTAAACCCTTTGGCTCCACATTTAGTAGTGTCCAATGTTACTGCTTCAAATCGTAAAATCTTCCCTAATTCATAAGATTATAACTTCAGCTTTTAACATAACTTTCTTTGCATGTACCTAGCTCCTCCAAAAGGCCAATATAAATCTATCACAGAAAAGAGCTTGGTTAATTTTGTAAATTTCCACTCGTGACCTCCTTCTTCATCACATGAAATCTCATGGCCTATATATTATGATCACTCAAAACCAGAATAACTCAGAATTAATCATATGCACCATCAAAATGGAGGCCTTGTAGCACTTCCAGTATTACCCCACCATAACAAATCACCTGAAAAGGGATAATTAGGCATGTTTGCTGCCATATTAAAGAAAGGAACACCGCTACTGCTAGCGCCACCGCCGCCTGCACCACCACCACCACCACCACCACCTACGGTCACACTCGAAGATAGGGACGCTGCAGGTTGCACCTGAACAGCCCCCTCCTCTTCCTCCTCCTCCACCTCCAACGGCAAACGTTCCAACACCGCATTTGCAAAAGACGCAGCCATCAGAACCACCGGACCGGAAGCCACCAACGGACCCACCACACTCCCTCCAACCACCTGTCCCTGTCCCCCTGCTAAAAATATCGACAGCCCACCAGCCCCTGGTGGTGCTGGCGGTGGAAGCACGGTTCCGGAGAGTGAAACAATGTCGAAGCGGCCGTGCAGCGTGACAACGGCAGGAGCAGCCTGCTGGCAGAGCGTGACATTGGCCACGGTGCCACCTCCGCTGAGAACACACACTCCTCTTCCCCTCCGCCTGGCATAATTGGACACGCTCTCCACAATGTCTGCTCCGGCTGAGACCTCGAGTACATGAGACCGGAACGAATTGGGGCTGTCTCTAGTGACAATTATAGGAGGCTTGGGCTTGTTCTTGGAGCCGGCAGGACGGCCTCGGGAACGGCGGGAAGAGGTGGCTGCTCCGCCGGGGCTGGTGGTGGCAGCATCATTGTTGTTGTCGGCCGCCGGAGAGTCGTTGGAATCCGATGGTAATTGTGTTGTTGTTTGGTGTTGCAAGTGCAGTTGAGGGGGTCCGATGAGGAGTTGACGAACGTAGCGAGATTCTGAGCCTCCTTCATAGCCTTCCATCGCCACTTCTATTTTTGTTTTCGTCTTATAATGCTTGCTTTGGGATGATATTATAGCCCTTGGCCCTCTTGATATTTATATATAGGGAGATATATATATATTGTTTTAACAGTAAAGTAAATCTACTCACAAGTGTTTTTTATTGAGACTCGAAGTCAAATATGTGTACTTGGGTAATTTTTGCCTTGTTGATTAATGACTCTAGGGTTAGGGTTGTTCTCTCAAAATTTAATGACTTAATAAGATATTAGGATTTGGTGAGTTCAGGAATATCTTCTCTAAGTTGTTAATCTGGTAATTAATTTGACTTTTTAATTTGACACGAAAAATAAGTGTCCAAATTTGTATGTCCTTTTAATATGCCACTTGAAATAATATAATATGACACCCGTACTAAAATCATTTCATAACTTTTGTACTCCAAATTAATTGTTTATATTAAAATTTTAAATAAATTAAATATAATATTTTTATAATTCTTCTTCTAACTTTTTAAAAAAATTTCAATTTTATATAGTTAAAGTTAGAAAACCAAAATCGAAAATTAATGGAGAGAGTAACGATTTGAATATTTTGTTTTATTTTTTTTAATGGAAACCAGAGTGAAACTAGATGCATTATCCCACACAAAGCTAATACGGTGGCAAGCATGGACCACACGGTTGGATGTGGGCATGTACGGCAATAACGCCACGAGTCCTCTTAATGAATATTTGGACCCACTAAAATTGCCCGATGGATCCAACATGTTTTGATCAGTAACATATTGTACATAATACATACATCTATAGTCATGCCCACTGAAAGTCTGAGATCCTAGGAAGTTCTAGTAGTGTCTTTTTTTATTTATTTATTTATTTATTTATTTTAGTTCTATTGCTAGAACAAGAGAGAGAGAGATTGTGCCATGCCAATCCCATTGTCACGTGAGGTCAACAGGTCAATTCAAACGAGGTGGAGCTGTCAGACCACGTGCAGGCTGTCGGGACATCAGTACTTGGTCATATTCCATCTAAAACCAATCCATATTTTCCTTTCATTTGGTCCGTCGATGACTCAAATATATTATTGATACCGAATATAATACCAAAAAATAATGAATATGAAAGGAAACATAAATACGCCGCCGTTTGGACGAAATCCTCTCCACCCTCGAAAGCCATCTCCAAGTCCAGTGAAGTAGCCCTACTTGTCCCTAGTCATTGGACTATGATCACTCCCCATTGCACAGTTATCCATTTACTCTATTTTTGGTCAATGAACAGTGTTTACCATGTTTGGTTAAAAAATATATTTTCTTATTACAGAATTTTCCTATATATATATATATGTATATGTATATTTTGTTCAACTATACACCCTTTTGTTCCCTCATTTATTATTCATCTTTCCTCCCTCATTTATTCTTCATCTTTCCTCCCTCATTTCAGCAATCTATTTGAAATAGAAATCAAATCCCGCCACTAGCCTTCTTATCTCCCAAAATATGAATGAAGCCATTTTAGAAATTTATTTCTTTCCAAATAGAAGCCGGAAGCAATGATTGTTGTGTGAATCAACCCAAAATTTGGATGCTACAAATTGTTTCTAAATAAAAGCAACGCTTCTGTTAGTCCCAATAAAATTGCAGATTCTGATTTCCTTCCAAAAAGAAGCAGCAGTGTATTTCCAAAGCTAAGCAAGAGTGTATTTCCAAATTGAAGCAGGAGATTGCCTTATTTCCAACCCTAAGTAGGTACGATTCATAATTTTCAGATTTGATTTTGAAGGAAATCGTTTTATTTCCATAATAACGGAATGGATGAAACAAATATAATTACTAAGAATATATAGACACATTTTTTTGTAAGAAATCAAGAAATAGAAAATTATTGGTGAATTTGAATTGATCGTTTTTTTATTATGCAGTTTTAGGGGTTTTAATGTTTGTTTGTGAGGATAAAAAATGAGAGGATTTGTAAAGTACATGACTAGCCGAAAAAGAGTGTTTCAGAGTGTTACAATGTTAAGAAAATGTTTGGTCGTTGGGCTTGCATCGCAACGTTTTCCTAAGTTGCATCCGAACTTTCTCCTAATAAGCATCCCAAATTCTTCCTTATCTACATTCCAATATTTTTGTAAAGTGAGTCGCAACATTTTCCTAAGGTAAATCCTAACATTTTTGTAATATAAATCCCAAAGTATTTATAAAGTGTATCCTAACATTTTCCTAATGTGTATCCCAAAGTTTTCGTAATATACATCCCAACTTTTTCAAAAGGTGCATCCCAAACTTTTCCTAAGGTGAGTTCCAACTATTTCGTAAGGTGAATCCCAACTGTTTGCTAACGTAAATCCCAAATTTTGCGCAATATTAATCCCAACATTTTCATAAAGTGTGTCAAATTAGCATCAGTTGGTTGGACATATATGTTTTGTTGTGGCATAGAAGATTTTTATCCTCTTTTGTCTGGGATATACTTGATTGATACATGCAAAGAAATGAATGAGACATATGTCAAATTTAATTGGTCATACATGTGAAAATATTTTTTATTTGATTGATCATATATGTGAAAATGTTTTGTATTTGAGGCGTTGAGATGGAACATTCTTGGGATGTAGAAGTAATTATTATTATTTTATTTTATTTTATTTTATTTTTTATTTTTTATTTTTTGTTAATTCAATATTTTGTGCATATGTGAGAAAATGTTTTGTATTTGAGCCGTTCAGATGGAAGGTGGAGTAAATAATATTTAAGACACAACAAACGGACGAAACGTTCCTGTTGTAGAACCGGAAGTGATTAAATGGAAACCAAGGTATAAAATGGAGTTTGATAGTGAGGAAGAAGCATATGATTTTTACAATGCACACGGTGGTCGAATTGGTTTTAGCATCCGGAAGGAGAATGGCAATAAAATTAATGGAAGAATTACATCAAGGGCGTTAGTTTGTAGCAAGGAATGTGTGAAGGGGACTGACAAACGGGATGTATTTAGAAAGACTCCCCGGGCTGAAACATAAACTGATTGTGGTGCACGAATGGTTCTTAGATATGACAAGATAAAGGCAAAGTACGTAATTTCTAAATTTGTAGAAAGTCACGACCATCCATTCATAATTGCTGAATGCAGTCACATGATGCCGTTTCAACGACGAATTTCCTTAGTCCAGGCCATTCATGTTGAGTTGGTTTCGGATTTAGGAGTTCCAGCTTGTAATACATATGTGTTGATGGGAAGGCAATCTGGTGGCAAAGAATCAGTTGGGTACTTGAAAGTGGATCTTAAAAATTATTTAAGGACGCGAAGACAAAATGAGCTTCTTTATGGAGAGGTGGCATGACTTGTGGATTATTTTGAGACGCGTGCTTGTGAAGATCCTTCGTTCTTCTATTCCTTGCAACTGGATATTAAGCAAATGATTACGAACATATTCTGGTCAGATTCTAGAATGATCATTAATTATGGCCATTTTGGAGATGTTACCAGTTTCAATACAACGTACAAAATGGTACATGGCAATAGAACATTTGTAATTTTCTTGGGTATAAATCATCACCGAGAGACCGCTGTGTTTGGAGCAGCCTTAATGTATGATGAGACAGCGGATTCGTTTGTCTTATTATTTGAAACGTTCTTCAAAGTGATGGACGGAAAAGCGCCAAAGACGATTATTACGGATCAAGACGCTGCAATGGCGAATGCGTTAAAGTAAGTGAATAACTTTCTTACATCTCTATTCTTGTCACTTGGTATGCTGAAACAATCATATTATTTCAGTCGTATTTTTTGTATTTACAATATTGCAACACGGGTATTAAGTTAATTAATCTTGCAGGTCATGCCGATGACGAAGAACATATTGTTTCTGTTTAAACGCGTTAAAGGAATAAAGAAGGTCATCTCAAAATTAATGTTCCAAATTGAGGAGGAGGATGATTTTATCAGGGAATGGGATTTAATGATTGTTGCTGGTAATAAGTGGCTTTCCACTTGGTTAGATTTGAGACATAAATAGGCCCTGGCATTTGTCAAACACGACTGGTCTGCATAAATGAGTAGCACGCAATTGAGCGAAAGCTTCAATGGTTAATTGAAGTATTACCTTTCTAGACAACATATTCTACTAGAATTCATCACACACTTTGACAGATTGTTGTCGGACAAGTGGTACAAGGAGTATGAAGCCGAGTATGGCTTGCTGAAGAGGCAACCGTAACTAAAAACAAAGTGCCAAATATTACGTCAAGTGGGGAAGGTGTACACCAAGACAATATTTCAGCTTTTCCAGGAAGAGTTTTTAGCTACTATTGCGAGTGAGACTGTTATTAATTGCAGTGACTTGGATAATAATGGACACCGTGTTTATAAAGTTGCTAGTGGGGACGGGGCGCAAAGTCGTGTGAGCAGGACATTTGAAGATGAATTGTCATGCTCATGTTATAAATTTGAAACAGAGGGTTATTTATGCAGGCACAATCTGAAAATCCTTAAAGACTGCATGTTTGTGAATGACTTGCCTTCCCGATATATAATAAAAAGGTGGACTAGAAATGCTAGAGATGGTAGGTTGGACAAAATTCTTTCCACCAACGTGAATCCGAATCCTCAACTTGAGATTAGGCGACGACATAGGACACTTTGCTGTATACTGACTGAAATATCTTCCATTGCATCGCACGATCTCAAAGGATATAATGATCTATTAGAAAAAGCACTGGATTGGGAAAAAAAAAGTACAAATAAGTTATGATCGTAGGTTTGCAGAGAAAATTACAAAAGGTAAGGGAAAAAAAAGGGTCAAAAGCAGCAGTGGAACAATTCCCATGTCCCTAAAAGTTAAAGATACTTCTAAAGGACGATTTAAGAGGCTGAAACCAACCATAGAGTTAAATAGTGGGAAAATGAGGAAGTCAACGAAAGCAACAAGACAGGTATACGTTACTGTCACATGTACTGCTATTTCATTATTTAACTATTTGAACATACGAACAAAATAAATTCGATTTCATAACATTATATCATTCGTCATAAAACACTCGTGAGTGGAAGAAACTAAATTTTTTTATGTTTTAGATATCAAATGAAACCGTTGTTTTGGGAGAGGCCAGTGGCAGCGATAATCCGTCAACCCCATCCTACGTGTTAGTGAATGTGAGTATTATTGCAAGTATATTATATATAAGGATTTAGTATTCATGATTGTTGGTTAACATGTTGATTGTGTTTAAAAGTGCATTGATAGTGTTTATATGAAATATTTTAGGATGCAGAAATTCTTGTCCAATTTCTGAATGAAGAATCTTACGTAACACCACCAACTGTATTCCACAACAGACAGCTTAATATTGGTGAACCATGTACTTCATCAACTAACCATGTAAGTGTGTTAATTAAGAGACATTATTTTTTTTGTTTTTCCAAAATGGACCAAGTTTTGTTTATATATAAACATTATATTACAAAGGTCACATGGGACATATCCCATACCAAACTCTGCCCAGACCAGGAAACATCAGAAAAAGTCACACTAAAACCTAATGCAAAACAGTAATCACATCTTGGAGGCATTCCCCCAAAATGTGCACAACTTGCCACTCAATACATTTTGCCAATTCCTTTAGAGAGGAGAATTTAGCATTGTGAATTCTATCATTCCTTTCCTTCCAAAGAAAATACAATGTAGCTGTGAAAAGCATCGTATAAAACTTATTTGTCATGGACTTCACTTCGAACTTCGGGGACACATCCATAGCCACATCCTAAATAGATGAGAAAGGTTGAAAAGGCCATTGACAAAGAGATGCCAGGGTCCTCCATAGCCTCCAATTAAACTCACATCTTCAAAAAAATCTGATCATTATCATCTACAGTCTTGCAACAGAGAATACATTTGCACACCAAAGAAATACCTCGCTTTTGCAAATAAGTACCGCATTCTGCAATACTAAAGCAGCACGTATGGACCATGTAGGTCTTCCACCATTCCAGCAAATATCAAACCAAAAATCCTCATGTCTTATAGTTCGACAAACATTCCAGACAGCTTTAAAAGATAACTGATTAGCTTGCCAAGTAAATTTGTGTCCCTATCCATGAATCTTGTATTGCAGAAAAACATTGATGTAGATCAGTTGGAATATTATCCATTTTCCGTTGAGCTGCAGCAATAAAATCCCCAAAACCCTTGATCGAAAATTGTATGTGAATAAAAAATTGACATCATTTTACCATCATGATAAGTGCTTAAATGTGACGCATTTTAGCACTTAAGTTAGGGTATTTTAGTCCATTCATCTATCTTACTTTCATGTCTTAGTACTTATTTGTGTTTTTACCTATTTCAGGTTAATAAAGTTGAAAGAGGCTAAAAAGAGCCATTTAGCTCAATTTTGGAGCTAAGGAGCAAATCCGGAAAGAAGTCAGAAATTTGCAATTTAGAGGAGCTTCGATAATCAAAGGGAATCCCGATCGATCGAAGTCGGCTACGATCGATCGAAATGAGCGGTGCCAGCTCAGCAAAGTGGATAAGGCCTAGAAGATATCTTTGATGACATGTCGATTGATCGAACATCTTCGATCGATTGAGATGACTGTTGGCAATAAGCTGTTTTAATTCCTGAGCGCGCCGGACTCTACCTAACTTGTAACTACAAATTTCCTCCAATCATGGGCTGTGTTTCTGAGTTGGTGCCTACTCAAAGAGGCTTAGAATAGATTAATTGAACATATTGTAAAAAAAAATCATCTAGTTTTTCTTACTAATTATAGAAATAGTTTCTCTTTCTAAAACTAGGGTTTTGGGGAAGAAAGCAAGGATGAAGATGATGAAGCCAACCTCTAAGCTAGCCCTTAAGGGTTCGATGACCACTACAATGAGTGGCTAAATCCTTCTCTTAGGGCTAAAGATAGCCCTTAGGCTTGCTTCTTAAACTTAGCTTTTGTGTATTTTTTGGGATTTTAGTTGTAATTGATGTTTTGACCATGATTAAATATAGATCTTGTAATTTTTACTTGATTTGTATGGATTAATGCTTTCAATTGATCATTTAGTTTTATCCATAAATCTATGTATGCTAGAATGAATGTTCATGTATGATGCATGTCTATATGTGTTGATGTTGTTAACCTAGTGATGTCAAGGCATAGTGCTTAATTGAATACTCTTGTGGTTTATTTGATGGTTCATTCTTATTTCTTGATGGATTGTGCCACACCCTTAGTTTAATTAGCTTAATTTTCATGTCACTAGCTTAGTTGTAGTGTAATTGCTTTAATTTTTTAGGTAGGTGGACAATCTATTCTTATTGTTTGATGTTCCATACTTATGAGTGCAAGAAGTACATTTTTCTAGATTATTGTGTGTGCACTAATTGTGGTTTAATTGAATGGTCATTGGTCTCATTTAATAGGTTGTGGGATGCACTAGATTAACTAGACAATCTATACTTATTTGTCATCCATGCTTAGCTTTCAATTAGTGACACACACAAACATTTTACAACTTAAAATTCCCCATTAATTCACAATTGCTAGTATTTGGTGAAGTAAAGCTTAGTGGTGAACTCTAAGCCCCAAGCCCTTTCTCTCATATATCTTTCTCTAATTCTAGATTATCATTTAATTTCATTGCTTTAATCGAACCAATAGTTTAATCAAATTAAACCCTCTTTTAATCATTCGACCTACTAATCCATCATTGATTCCACAATACCGTTCATTTCCCTTGGGACGATCCCTACTCACTCTACCTACATTAATAGTTAGTAGTGGTAGTGGCATTCTATAAATTCAAACTTAGTTATACTTGTAATGACCCGGTCATTTTCCTTCCTTTCCTTTTTCTAAAATTTTACAGATAAATTTTTTTCATTGAATTTTCTTTTCTGAGTTCGGTTACTCATCACTTAGTGTCATCTTGAGTGCTCAGAAATGGTTTCTGAGACTCTTTCCTTTGGACTGACAATTTCCTTTAAGAACTGAGTCATTTTCACATTTTTTCAATTTTTGGACACTATTCACTTTTCGTCTTTTTCCCCAGAATGATTTTCTTAGCGTAACCTCACTATTTGTGCTCAGATTAGGTTCCGATTTTGTATGCATCCATGATATGTTATTTCCATGATATTTATATTTTTACTTTTTGTAGAAAAGTATGCTAGTTGCTTACTTTTCCGTAAAGGGTATGGATGCATAGTTTCTTCGAAAATATTATTTGTTTTTGAGATTTTTTTGTAATTATAGAAAGTAATTATTTTATTTCTTAGGGACCTTTTTGCAATTTATTTTGATAGATATTTTCAAAAATGACCTTTTTGTAATTACCAGAAAAGTGTGACAAGT